GGGGGGCTAACTGTAAGGGTCGGATTTCACCCCTATGAGATCGATATAACGACAAGATCAACTGGGCACCATCCTAACGAAATCGGAGCAAGTCTACAAGGGCCCAGTCTGAATCTAGGCCCAAAATGACATTAAACCCATTAACAAAATGGGCTTAATAGATTAATGGGCCTAAATATTGTATATTGCTTAATGGGCCAAGCCCATTTATTAGTTGGCCCATTTTACTTAGAAGTACTATATATAGTTCATTATCATCTCCCAAAAACAGGATGAGAATTCATAAGCAAAACCTCTTGTAACAGCTTTCTTCACAGCTAATAAAAACTCTNTTGAGATCTTTGTGTTTGCTTGCTTTCCACAGAACTTTACAAACCCTAAAGAATCACTTAGATTCTAATTATGAGATTCGACCGCCATATTAACACGCCTCGAAGAGGAAGCAGGCGTGTCTTGCACATTTGGAGTAGCAACATCACCAACAGCAGCCTCGTTCTCATTCTCCATCTCTACCTCCTCTACCACATTAAGATGCAAAGGCTGTAGAGATTATGTAACTTGCCATATATGGTCACTCCAATCTTTTCTCGAGCTAATACAATTCTTAATGCAATCAACTTGTTCGTCTTTCATTTCGCCGGTCTGTCTGAACTCAATACCCTCAATTAAATCGAAATTCCCAGTAGAAGAGATGTATGGATACAGAACACCATACAATAAAGTTAATATGAATAAGATTAGTATCAAAATGATATACTATATACAATTTGCAATCATAAAAACAAATTGAGTTAATATATGTAAGTCTTTGTAGTTGATGAATAAACTGCAAATGTATATATAATTCCTCAATTATAGAAACGAACATCTGAAAGCAAAATGATATACAATATATGTACGTGTGCTAACAAACAAAAAAAAACTGGAATTTCCAGAGATATATGACTTAGATAAATACATTTAAACCCCAACTACACAAAAAAGTATCTATTATTAATTGTCTAATATATAGTTTATATGCAATAGAAATGATATGTCAATGTATTATTTATAGAAAGAAATCATCAAACTTAAAATTATGGTTGATAAGTATATGATATATACTATAAGTATTTCGGTACTTAAAAAAAAAAAATTTAGATATATACATACCAAGTCCTCAATGTGTGTTCTCATGATAATTTGATGCAACTGTTATTGTTCTCAAGATGAAACATGAAGCTAATGAGTTGATACTAAAAGACTAATAAAACTCAGATATATACATACCAAATCCTCAATGTGTGTTTCCTAATCAAGTCTTATGTTCATTGCTTTGTAAGAGAAAAAACTTGAACCTGAAGGGAGTTTCTTTTCTATATAATATATACATATATCTAACTAAACAAAAAAAAAACGGCACCGTTTGACCACTTTTGTCTGC